GAAGCATGCCTGCACTGATCAGGACAGGGAGCAACCACCCGCCCTTTGCAGGCTCCCCTCTAGGCTATGCATTCACTTTCTCACTTCCTATACTAATTTAATATTTAATCACTTACTATATTAATAAATAATTATTACAATATTTAATTTGCCCTTGCAACAAGGGAAGCAGTCCAAGTCCTAGCCACAGTCAGACTTTTGACTCAGTGAAAGACACCAGTGATGAGATTTGCTTAGGTTGCCAGCAGCTGTTCAGAGCTCATGAGTAGCATTATCCCAGCTAATGAAGTTTCAAAGCCCAATTTCTTGCACTCCAGTGTCTCTGCTGCCTGTTAGTGTTTTTACTCCCTGCTGTAACCTCATCTAGGAGACTGCAGGAATGTATTGAAGAGAGGTGAGGGCAAACAGCATGCAACAGGGTGGCCCCGGTGGTCCCTCCACACCTCAAACACGGCTGTGCCACGTGTCAGACATGAGGCTGAAGTTTGAAGGCTCCATCAGGAACAGGGTTTTAAACAAATAGTTGATGAAATGTCTCGAGATCCAATCCTGTCTCTGCCTCATGTCCAGTGAGGTGCCAGCACCTGAAAGCTCCTCTAACTACATAATCAGTCTAATACAAACTCCCTGCAGTTCTTGTTTGTTTGGGGAATCACAATTACATCGATGTTTACAGCAACAGCTAATCAGAAAATTTACTTGCTTTCCTTTTGTAAGCAGAGGATTGTAAAATGTGGATTGTGCTCAGGGCATACTTCTCTTTCTCCATGGACAATGGGGGACATCTGGCCTCCTAATTTAGGTACAGCTAGCCACTCTGGGAAATGGGAAAAGTTTGAGCTTACAGACAGAAACATTTTTCCAATGCCTTAAAATGCTACAATGAGATGTCCACCCTTTTTTATGGAACAGAAATGTCAGTGATAAAATCCAACATATGCAAAACTAGTTTCTAAGAAGTAAAGGTAATGAAACAATTGCAGCACTGTGGGAGCCATGTCTGAGAAAGACATCTAGCAGCCACCTGTTTGCAGGTTCTCTTAAACCAGGAGCGTATCTGTGTCAGTGGCAAAGCGTAATCAGTCTCCACTTACTGCAAACTGCAGTGGGGTCACCATGCTGCTGAAGTGCTGGGGTTAAACCCCCAGCCCCAAATGAGGCTTGCCATAGGGCTGACATCCACAACCAGGCAAGAAAGACCCTCCTGATTGGTTTTCACCCAAGCTCTGGCCAGCCTTGGGTGGGAACTGATGAGGAGATCACCACCAGGTGCCCCCACCTTACACATTAACTTGGAGGTGGGGCAAGAAGCCACCTCTGTAAGAGCTGACTCTGCTTGCAGTAGGGTTGGGAGGTTTGGCTGTGTATCTGTTGTGTGAGGATTCTGGTTATTGGAAGGGCTCCCTGACTCTTCATGGCAAGTGGAGTTTCCAGGATGGTACAACATAATCACAAATCTCTCTTTGGGAAAATCCTACATAAAATCCTACATAACTGGACTCCTTGTCTGGCTGGTTCCATCTCCCATGGAACCTTGGAACATCTTCCTTGGCCAGCTTGTTCCCTTCTGCACATCCTGTGTTGTGAGTGAATACATTGGTCTATTCATTCCTCCAGTGGTGGGCCACCTTGGATCTTTGGTGTATGATTTAAGAGTAGAGGTAGGACTATGGTTGCTGGTTTGTCCATCAATGATAATATTCTTCCTAGCTGGGCAAGCAGTCAGCAGAAGAACTGCTAAGGAAACCTCACTGCAGGACCACTAATTTGTAAACACAAAGCACTAATTTGTAAACACAAAGTGACTCTGTGGGTATTTCTCAGGACAAAACTTCTGATAGATCCTTTTGCTGTTTCTATATTAATGCTTCTCCACATTAAGATGAAGGTGAGTGAAGGAAAAGCCCAGGTGCTTGGCTCGTTGGGTATCAATGCGTTGAACTGACTCAAGCTCTTGTCTCAGCAAGTCATCGTGATTGTTCAGAGAGCCTTTTGTAACAAGTCCCATGGATTTTTTTTCCAGTAGCAGGGTTAGATCTTTGTTTTCTGAGCCATCCTGTGCTGGAAAGAGGATGGATTAATTTTCACCTACCTATAGGCCTTAGCCCTTTCTGAGCTGTTGCTGTCTTCACTCAGGGAATGAATACATTACATTGTTGGAAAAAACCTTTTTCTACTTACACATGGATGGATCTTGATTCTCTTTGAATTTCTTATCACATCTTCTGCCAGCACAAGTGAACAAAGATTGTCCTGGCCTAAGATTACATGATTTTTTCACTAGCTTGCTCAGGGTCTGGGGCAATATCCCTCCAAACCACAGACTGGAGTTTGGATATTTTTGTCCCTGATGCTTGGTATTAGAAAAACCATTGAGCTATACTGTTTTTCTCTCTGCTTGGATGTTCCAATGTCTTACAAACTCTGTATGTACACAGGTATTCAAGTCAAGATCTACTCAACCTCATACCTGCCAACTGAAGTCATATTTAGCCGTAATCTGATTCTTTTAATGCTCAAACCCACCTCAGATGCCAACATTTTTATTATAGCCCACAATGAGGTTACATTGCTGACATATTAGCTCCCAATACCAACAGTTTGGTAAGATAGCAAGCCCACTAAATTGCTCAGATTAATGCTTTCCTACTCACCTAACTAACAGGCCCTCTAGTTTTTTGCACCAATTTAAATGTGAGACAGAATTCCCCAGTACTAAGAAATTAATGATTTTTTTGTTTGGGTTTTTGTTTTCTTTTCTTGTGTTTTTTTTTTTCTTTCCCACAAAGATCTGTTCAGAATTCAGAGACCTCTGGGTAAGATATGTCAAGGAGATGGGTATGGTGTTTACTTGTTTATTGCATTAGTGGCCACTCCTTGCAACCAGTTTAAAGCAGCTGTGCCACTGGAGTTGCACTGGTGGCATTATACTCAGGTGTGAGGGACTCAGCTTGTATCTGTAGGGTGGGACTGTCTCTCCATATGAAGTGTGGGGAAATAAAGACACCCTAAACTCTGAGAAAAAAAAGAAGCAAGTGGATCATTACATGCTGTAGGTTATGACTACTTTGACTTCATCTGGTTTTAAGTTCTGCTGTAAGGCCCTTGGTACAGGATGTTGGCCCAGCAAAAAGATAGTCCTCACCAGCAGGTAGGACTATACAGGACAGGGCTGATAAACCAGAGCTGAAGTTATCTTTGGCAGGTCATATCAGACATTTATGTTGCAAGTGAGTGATGATTAGATTAAACAGACCTGGATGGTGTGGTATTCACTTATCCTCTGAATAAATCCTCTGTTTTTTTACAGCTGTCCTTAAATCATTTAGGCAAGTGTTATGCACTGGGTCATCAGAGCATGAGGGCACAGACAGCACGTCGGGGCAGAAGAAGAATGTCATGTGTAAGACTTACTCATCAGCTTCATCCACAGGGAGCCCTTCCAGCTCAAACCTGCAAGAGCAACCGTAGTCTTCAAAATCCCTGGGGCAAAAGCCAGTAACACACTTCATTTTGTTCACAAAGTTGAGCAGGGCAGGGAAGTTGGTGAAGATGGACTGTAACCAGGTGAAGTGAGAACCCAGGCAGTCTGGAAAGAGAAGAGCCACAAAATGTCTGGTAAGTGGAGGTGAGCCAGGTGTGGGTCACACATGGGTGGTATTTGCATGGACTCAGAGCCTAAACAAGGCAGAGATGTTGGGCAATGCTTGACATTCAGCACTATAATAGTCTTTGGGGAAATCTACAGCCTCAAAAGTCTGTGATGCTTTTCAATGCATACAAAAGCAAACTCCTTGGGATCTGTATTCAGTGCTCAAGTACAACTGGAACACATACTTACCAAAAAATAATGCAACACTTTCCACATTTTGAAAGACTCCATTGAGTAATGTGGCATTGTCTAAATGAAAAAATAAACAAACCAGATTTTTTTTTTTTTAAAAAGTAAACAACAAGCAATATCCCCAGACTGCCCCTGGTCTCGCTTCAGTTGTTAAACCATTTAGAGATAAGAATTACTATTAGCTAACAACACAATTCCCTGCAATGCTTCTGGAGTGCATATGATCCCCCACTGCCACCAGTGTTGTAGAAAGTAAAGCTTATACCATTCTTACTCAAGAATCTTTCAGGTGTGTTAAGAAGCTCTGGCAGAAATGCTGGCGGCTCCAACTCTTGGCCACCTACTGCAGTAAACAAATTTGAGAAGAAAAATATTTTAAAAGACCAAACCAAAGAAGACCACAACAAATACTTCATTATGACACAGACACTGCAGGCACTTTGAACACCTTCCTATACTAGCAAGCTGATTTATGAAACACTTGCTAAGCTTTGTCTGCACCCAGAAAAGCCCAGAAGCATACTGGTAAGTCTCATTAGCATCAGATTAAAAGTCAGTCTTCTGTTAAACAGAGCTATTGCTACTGAGGATGTGCTGAACCATGTGTATTCCTGTGCTCTCCTGAGCAGTAGCACTTACCGTGATAAATAATACAATTGTATAAAATTGTTTTAGTTGCCCAACTAATTTTATTGTCCCAAATGTTTGTATCCTGTAACCCTGTGCTCTTTACTTAGTTGGTCAAGAAGTTTGGCTTTTCTGAGCCCCTATTGCCTTGTTGCCTCTCTTCCTATCACTATTTCTTTCTTCAGTTAATTACCTCTTTTTGCTTTTGAAGGTGTGTTTTGCCTGTGTGGTATATTTTCCACACTTTTGTTTTGTTTGCAATGTCCAGAATCGGTAAAATCTAATCCTTTTTGTCTCCCTTCCCATCTTCTTTTTCCTTGTTCTTATCTTTTTCTTTTTGCAGCAGGCCCAAGGGGAAGGGACTGCTTTCTACAAACCAGAGAAGGTCTGATAAAGGCTGGCCTTTTCACAGGACTGGAACAAGTCTGTTGAAAGCTTGACAGCCATGAGGAACTCAGATTCAAACAAAATAATGGTGTGCCTTGCAAAACAAATAGCATTGAATGCTCTGTATTTGTAGACATGCTTGCTAAAGAAAAACTGCTCTTTGTTTTCCGGCTTAAAGCCTGTCTTTCCTCTGCAATGGCAAACACTCTTCCCCCAAACCATGTTCTGTCAAGTGCATCTAGAGCCAGGTTTTGACACACTCCATAACACCATGGCTCAAACTCCGTGTCTGTTGATGAATAACCATTGATCATTCAATCCCTTCAGCAAAAATCTGGAAAACATGAAAATCCCATTGAGTTGAAATGAGAGAGAGGAGGCAATTGATAAGGTCATACGACAGAACTGCTGGATGTTGTGATTGCTCCAGCTTCCTTCACTTGCATTTAGTTCTCAGCAGACTTAATTTGCACACACCCAACTAACACACAAATGTTTGAAGCTCCCCTGGAGACAAATCTCTACTACAGCAGCTTGGTAAAGCTTTGGTACTTCTAATTCTCTTATTATGAAGAAGGATTTTTCTAATTGTCACTAAGGCAAGATCAATGAACCAAAGTTTGCTAACAAGCTTGCTTCATTTCGTTTATACTGTGGGGAAAGGGACAAAGACAAAATATTTTCTGGATAAACTATTCTCTCTTCTTCTTTTGCTGTCATGTCTTTTGGAGCTGTTGGTCCTATGCCGTTCCTTGTACAGCCTCTGAAAGACTGTACTACAAAAACCAATCCCTTAAATCTCAGAAGACACTGGGGAGGCCAACCTCTCTCGCTTGTCTCCAAAACCTGTTAAATGATTTGGCACATGTCCTGATGAGAATTCTATGATGTGTCAGCTCTCGGGCTTTCCAGGTCTATACCTCATCCACAGGATTTCTTTTAACATTCAGATACATGTAAAAATGTTTCTGGACTCTCTCTGTGATGTTGCTTCTCTGACAACACTTTTCTGAAGTGTTATCTGAAAAAAATTACATAAAAAAAAAAAAAAACAACCAGCAGTGCACCTCTAGTTCTTTGAAAAAAATTACATAAAAAAAAAAAAACCAACCAGCAGAGCACCTCTAGTTCTTTGTTGGTTTTTTTGTTGTTGTTTTTTTAATTGTGGCTAATTAGAATGTCATAATATAGGACACAGTCATTACAATCCTTGGGGAGCAAAACCTTGATTGTGCTGGGAAAAGTCAGAGTGCAGCAAACCCAACCTATTTGATTTATTCAAGGTCAATCACGTTAGCTGCTCACAAAGATGCTAGTTCATGCACAGATAGTTGCTCTAGTCCCAAAGCAGAGATCTGCAGAATAGATCCCACATGAATATAAATCAATAATTCTCTCCAAACCTAAAGCCAGTAACATTTTAAATCTTTGTGCTCAGATTCTGCTTATCTGGGGGAAAAGAATCTAAAAACTGTGGCACAGCCTTTTGAGTTTTGGGAACAAAATCTCTTTAAAGAGTTATGTCAGAAAAATTTGAGTGTCCCTATATTTTTTTAGTGCACTAGGCATTCTTAATATATAGTCCCTTTTACATCTGGAGACTTAAATACCCCTTTATTTTTTATGAATAAGCACTGTAGGTATTTTGGCATTCTCTATCACTGCACTGGGATATGCTAATACTCTTACTGATTTCTATTCATACAGTAGCAGTCCTAAGGTTCAGCTTCAGCAACATATTTTAGCCCATGTGTGTCATGTTAGACCTGCTTCTTTACTCACTTGTAATGCAAACAGCCCCCTAGAGGAGAGGCAACTGCTGAAGATGAAGTAGGATGGTGCAGAATTTTTTCTGTGCCAAGGTGCTGAGCTTTCTTTTGCCTTTGGGAATAACCCCAAGGAGCAACCAGAAATGATGTTAGATCACCTAAAAGTCATCTTTTCACCTGAACACTGCTACTGTTAATGGCATTCCCACGCAGTGCAGGGACTGTAGAAATTTGAAAAGTTTGCCCATCCCTGTCACTGAGAAGCTCATTCACCCATGACAGTAAAATCTAGAGAATTAGACAAGGGAAAGAAACCTAGTAAATAGGTAAATAGTAAATACATAGTAAAATTTGGAGGAGGAGCTGTAGCTGAAATTGAGTTATATTTCATGATGCAGAATGATTTGGAGATTCTAGAAAATACAGACATATTTAATAAATCAAATCTCTTTATATGTACCTTGTTACCTTTTTGGAGTCAAAAGGACTTAAGTAATGACCAAATGCTAGCAGAAAGGAAGTTGTTGGGTTGTTTTTTTTTTGTTGTTGTTAGTTATATTTTTAAGCCCATTCAATGTTTCTTGTTTCACTAGAAGTCCTGATAATAATTAAATTTTTAAGTAGTTCACAGATAAACTTATTAAGTGCATTTGGATGTTGACCAATTAGATCTAAGGGGACGGAAGGGTGCTTCTAAAGGCTTGTTTCTAAATACACATACTTAAAGTAATATTTAGGCATAAATGTCTAACTATGCATATTTAAATAGTATTTAGGCATAAATGTCAAATAATCATAAAAATACATTGCCACTTACCACTGTACAATACCACCGACATAGACAGCAGCAGAATTACAATCATGTTTTATTTAATCCAAAGACAAGAAAAAGTCACAGAGCAGACTGGTGTGCCTGGTGAGTTAAGTACAATGTGAGGCAGAACATTATCTCTTGAATCTGGGAGTGGGAAGACATCAGCTTAAAACAGAGTTCTTTTGTAGCCTGGCCATATTTCTGCTTGATGCAATTCAGTTTTTGTTATTATTATAGTAAATGCACATACTGCAGCAATCATACATCTTATGTATCCTTCAGATTTTACCCATGTCCTCTATAAACCTGAATAACAATATTTATTTTGGTATTGCTTTAGGTGATTTTCACATCTTACTTGATCCAACAGGATGTTTAAACAATTCTTCATGATATGTTTAAATGCAGGTACTGCACTGTTTGAATGCAGTGAAACACTGTGTAAATGAAGAATTTACATACACTTTAATCAGTGCTGAGACTGGTTTAAAGTATCATATATTGTCCTAATGATAAGCACTGCGCTGTTTAGAAATTTTCAGGTTCTGGATGTGCTTGTCCTTACAGAAATGTGTGTAAATAATTCTTCTAAAGCTAAAATCCTTGCACTGGTATTAATTAAATTACAGATAACAGACTGGTTTTGAACTACAGTCACAGTTCACCCTAAATTTAAAATTATTTTCTAAGTAAGTCAGATATGAAGTTTTTTTACACCCAAATAAATGAAAAATTATTTATCTGTTTTCAAATATGTATCTACCGTTGATTATCTACTCCACTAAGGTCAAATATTGCATTTATTTCTATTAAAAAGTCTTGAAATATATAATCAGGAAGTGAGATTATAAATCTAACAGCTCTAATTATTTATAGTCTACTATCCCAAATCTCTTACCTGTACTTTAGCCTACAACTCCACAGTCCCAAATAGCTTGTTCTACATTGTTTTCTCCTGATTTCTGAATTATAGAGTGCATCTAGAAAGCCTTACCTTGAGGAATATTATTCAAAAGCAGATGGATGGAGAACAAATGGATTTCAACAAAGTCAGTACTGAGTTATTTATACCCACTTGGATATATACCTCACCCATGTGATCACTTCCTTTATCAAACCCACTTCAACATTTACTAATTAATTCTTCCATGAGATTCCTTAGAGTCATTATACCCACAGTGTATCTTAGTAATATAGCTCCAGTCATGTAAAGGATCTATACTGAGAAGCCTGTTCTGCAGGTGCATTCACTGTATAGTAACTTTCCCTATTACTCTTGGTTGTAATTAAATAGCAATCATCTCCTTGTTATTAATCACTCACAAAATCTCTGGGGCATGTGAATATGGCTTTAATAGCTTAGTCAGAGGTAGTGTTCAGTGATGAAAGGTGAGTGAAAATTTATACAGCTTTAAACACGGGCATTCCTCAGGGTTGACAAGCCTGCTCTCATCTCTCCACAGTGGCTCTGATCCAAAGCTGGGTGAAATCCAGGGCAAGGTTGAGTCAACGAGCTTTGGGAAGGCTGCTCCCCATTGGGAAGATGTGCTTTCTGCTAGGGTCAAACACAGCTACCCTTCAAAGATGCTGTCATTGAAAGCAAACTGTCCACTGAGTTTTAGCATGTAGAAGTGAGAAGTCTGACAAACTGGGAACTGTAAAATTACATGAACAAAAGGCTTGGCTCCTCCAAGGCCCTGTGAACTTAATTGTTTTAAGAAAGGCCTTTGATACTGTTTCCCCATAAGATCCTCATAGAGGAACTGATGATATATGGGCTGGAGGAACCTAGTGAGGTGGTTTGAAAACTGGCTGAATGGTGGGGCCCAGAGGGTGGTGGCAAGTGATGCAAAGTCTGTTTGGAGGCCAGTGACTAGCAGTGTAAGCCATCTGTCAATACTTGGCCCAGGCTTTCTAACATCTTTGTTAATGACCTAGATGCTGGGGTAGAGTGTGCTCCCAGCAGCTGTGCAGCCATACTGAACTGAGAGGGGTGGATCATACCCCAGAAGGTCATGATGCCATCCAGAGGGATCTTGACAGGGTGGAGAAATGGGCCAACAGGAACTGCATCAACTTCAACAACAATGGAAAAATCCTGTAGCTGGGGATGTACAACCCCATGCACCCCTATATGCTGGTGGCCATCCAGCTGGAAAGTAGCTTGGCAGGAAAGGGCCAAGGTCCTGATGGGTATGACACTGAACTTGAATAAGCAGTGTGCCCTTGCAGCAAAGAAGGCTAAAGGTGTCCTCAGCTGCATTAGGCAAAGTATTGCCTGGAGATCAAGGAAGTGGATCCTTCCCCTCTATTCAGCACTGGTGAGGTCACATCTGGAGTACTGTGTTCAGTTCTGGGCTCCTCAGTATGAGACAGACATGGACAAACTTGAGATAGTCCAAAGAAGGGCCACAAACGTGATTTAGGGGCATCTCTCATATGAGGACAGGCTGAGAAATCTATGACACTTCAGTGTAGAGAAAAGCCTCAAGGGGATTTCATAAATGCCTGTAAAAACCTGAAGGGAGGATGCAGAGGACAGAGCCAGGCTCTTTTCAGTCATACTCGGTGACATGACGAGACAATGGGCACAAACTGAAACACAGGAGGTTCCCTCTGAATATCAGGAAACATTTTTTTTCCTGTGGGGGCAATTGAGCACTGGCACAGGTTGCTCAGATAGGTTGTGGAACCTCTCTCCCATCTCCTCCATTGGTGGTATTCCACAATCATCTGAATATGGCCCTGGGTAATTGGCTCTGGGTGGCCCTCCCTGGGCAGGGGAAGTGGACCAGATGACATCCAGAGGTCCCTTCCAACCTCAATTATTTTGTGATTCTATGTTTCTATATCAATTCATTGCTGACAGGAAAAGCGCAGGGTCCAGCCATACCATATCTGTGACCAGCCCTATCAAAGAATGTCATAGAACATATAGCAGAAGTTATGCCCTAGTCATAAATTGAAAATTGATTTTCATGTGAGTTTTGGTGCTTCCAGTTGGAGTTTCCAGGAATTGTCTAAAGTGTATTTTTATGGCCTTGATGAACATTTTCAGACTGAAAAATCAGAGTGGGCTTGACTGGTGAAGTGCTGGGGTTAAACCCCCAGCCCCAAATGAGGGTTGGTGTATGGATGATGTCCACAACCAGGCAAGAAAGACACTCCTGGTTGGTTTTCTTCCAGGGTCTGGCCAGCATTGGGTGGGAACTGATGAGGAGATCACCATCAGATGCCCCTGCCTTCCACATTAACTTGGAGGTGGGGCAGGAAGCCACCTCTATAAGAGCTGACTCTGCTTGCAGGGAGGTTGGGAGGTTTTTCTGTGTATCTGTTGTGTGAGGATTCTGGCTATTGGAAGGGCTCCCTGACTCTTCATGGCAAGTAGAGTTCCCAGGATGGCACAACAAAATCACAAGTCTCTTTTTGGGAAAATTCTACATAATTGGACTCCTTGTCTAGTTGATTCCATCTTCCAGGGCATGCACTCCCTTCTGCACACAATATGCTGTGGGTGAGTGCATTGACTTGTTCTTCCTTCTGGCACTTTGGTTCTCTGGTGTGTGATGTGGTAACAGAGGGAGGACTTTGGCTGTTGGTTTGTAGGTTGATGATAATATCCTTCCTAGTTGGGCAACTAGTCAGTAGAATAACTGGGCATGGTAATAAATGTGAGTTCTCTGAAGTATTGATGCCACCGTAATTTTTGTACTTCTCCCAAACGTGCACAGAGGTTTTCAGGACTGAACACCCTGGAATATAGAAATGGGGTTTTTTTGGATGGCAGACATTGTGTTCAGTTCTTTCCCAGGCCCTTGCTTTTTCATTCTTTCTCTTAGTTCATAATTTTTCTCATTAATTTTCATTATTCACCTGTGAAAGCCAACCAGTAAGTTTTAAACAAGAAGTCTATGACAAGGTTGTCATTAAGGACAGGTACTATTAATCTTTTATCATCTCCTTCTACTAGTCAGCTGTAACTGCGTGATGCCTCCTAGTTCTCTCCCCATGAACAAGCTTATGCTGGAGCTCTCAGCTCTTTTCAGGACCTGAGAGTGGAGAGGGCTGTGACCTACCCCCAGTGCCAGACACTGCTCAGGCCCACCCTGTCTTTTTATCCAAACCTAAAAAGACCCAGAAAATCAAACTGACTTTAAGATTTTTTTTTTCTTCCCTTATGTCCTTGTTTTCATGTCCACCTTTCTGAGTTCTCAGAAAGCTATGATAAAAATGTAAGAAATAATATAGATTCTTTTAAATCATGTCTTCAGGCTTTAAAATGGTTTTAGGAGATTTAAAAACAGCAGATGTGCAAAGCTGTAATACACTCAGCTTTTCACAGCAGAAGTGATCCCGCCTTGGGTGATGAGAAGTGCTGCAGAGTGAGATCTCTACGCAGTGTTGCAGTACCATGGCCACGTTAATGTTCCAAATCTATACCTTCTCTGTATGGGCATCCCTATTTCTTCCACTGGCCTGACTTTCAGTATCACCTGGCAGCTGTACTAATCCAGTCTCTCCTGCTTTTTGGTATGACAGAAATGCTTCTATCACGCTCTTTGGCACAATAGTGAAATGTATTTTGGAAGAGGGCTGCTGCATCCCATCTCTCCCTGGGAGGAACATTCCTTATGGGGCCATCTTTTTACTTGGTTTTATATTATTTTGAACATATATTTCTCATATTCCTTCAGCAAAATAATGTACACCAGCTGCACTGCAAGTAATATTTTTCAAAAAATATTGATCGTTTGATGTACTTTTAGGTAGTATTATACTGCTGAGTGTAGTAAAATATAACATTGTGCAGTTTGTTTGGTTATTCCTTCCCTTTTTAGAACTGGCTTTTAGTTCACCAGAGGTGCGTATAAGGAAGGAGATAAATCCTGGTGAGCTTACACAAACATATCACAGCTTGTGAATGCAAGAGGTGTGAGCATTTTGCTGGTTGAGCTCTGCACCAGATGAGTTGCTGGAATAGTGGGAGACTTGTGATTTGGAATAATGGATAACCTGCATGCATTTAACACCAGGAAAAAACCCTTCTTGCCTTCAGTATTTCAGGTTGCTTTTAAATTATTTTGTGTTTGTTCATTTTGATCACTTTATCTTAACTATAAATAAAACTAGTACACACTATTTGCATTCCCTAGACATCCATATAACTATCCTTTATAAAATAAAATTTTTAAAAGCCTTTAAATTCTTTTATTGTGGTTACATCACTTGTATAAAATACATCTGTTTTTATACAATATTTTTACAATACCTTGGAGGAAGACGAATTTCTAGGTTAACATCTGGTTAATAGCTTCTCCTGTTACAAATATTTGCAGATAACTTGTTACATACTGATTTTACACTGAGAAATTAAAAAGACAACTAAAACTGTCACCAATCCTCCCATTTGCAGTAAAATTCTTCAGTGCTCTAGACTGATGTACAGATGTTTTTAAGGCATTTTTGTTTTAATGCTGAAAAGACACAAAAGAACTGTTGTCAGAAGAGGTTTTACAAAGAAAATTTTAAAAACACACATGAAGATTGCATAATCTTTGGGCTTAGCCACTTAAAAAAATCATTATCCAATAAAATAGTTATCTGATGAAAGACAGCACATACTCTGAATATCTAAAACTTTTTTGTTATATCTTCATAATTTGGTGTATAGAGAGATAAAAAGAAAATGTACTTACTGTTGGAGTAAGCAACCCTTTTGACTCTTTCACAGACATAACTGGCATTTTTTAAGAACCAGGAATAGTATTCAACACAGTACCTAAAATGTAGTTAAAGTTAGGAGAGTAGTTGCTTGCTATGTTCTATAAGCATAACTGTGTGTATATTATACTGCTAATATTGAGTTTGGAAATAAAAAGTTATCTAATGACATCATTGAGGTCAGAATCTACTTGGAACAATTGAGCTGAGCTTTATTCACTTAGACTGCTAGAAGCCAGATCAGGTATTGATCAGTGCACTGGGGACCCATTTGGGTCTCAGCTAGTAACCACAGACTGCCAAAAATAAGCATCAGTGGTCAAAAATTGTCATTTGAAAAAAGACTGATGGAGTATTTTGAGCAGACAGAGAGAGAAACTACTGCCAGGTTTTACCTCATGGCTTCCTTTCTGGAATATCTTCTCTGACCAACACAGAGGCACAGCTGGAAAAACCTGCAGAGCTCCATCACACAGGGATTGATCTTTTGCACAATAAGAGTGACAGGAGGTGAGGTCACACGGGGCTCTTTGAGGATTGCCTGTGAACACTCTAGGAAAAAATACAGCTCTGAACTAGTTTGAATTCTTGTCCCATTAAATTCCTTGCAATTACTTACCCAGGCTACGAGAAACATGAAGATTAATAAACTCAGGTAGGTATCTTAAAAATCATATCTGAGCAAGGCAGATAATTGAAAACAGCACACAGCCTGGCAGTTGCTTGAATGAAAGCACAAGTATTCTATCCAATTTCTTATTGTTACTCATTTATTATTTAAAACCACATAGCTTTTATTTATCACAAAAGTAAGGAACTCTAAAGATGTAATTTATTTATTGTTACCTGTTTAGGTGGAGGTTCACTTGCCACTGAAGCCTCAGTTTTCCACAGTGCTAAACAAAGAGCAGCACTGTCCACTTATGTTTGATATTTTTTATATACATATGCTAATTTAATGAAAAATTAACTTTCAGTTCCACATGCTTTCCTATACCTACTCTCTAAATCTGAATCCTAGATTAAATATGGCTGAGGTAATAAACAAATAGAGTCTCACTGCTCTCTCTCCATAACTTTTTTTTTTTTTAGCCTCATTAACAAAATAAACATGATTTTTGCGAGGTTCTTTTCGAATATGGCTGAGGTAATAAACAAATAGACTCTCACTGCTCTCTCTCCATAACTATTTTTTTTAGCCTCATTAACAAAACAAACATGATTTTTGCGAGGTTCTTTTCTCTCTGTCCATCTCTGACAGTTTTTTCCCTTCTTGTTTCTAGTGACTTGAATAATCTGCTCATTTCAGCACAATTATTAGGCATCGGTAAGGATCCTCTGGATAAACATGTTCCTACAGATTTCATGAAAATTGACAAGTAACTGGTGGAGAAAAGGTCAGTTTTTCCCTGCACTGAGAGGAGGCTAGAAATAACTTCTCCGTTTTACAATTTGTCTGCCAGGAGCCAGCTGTTTAATCAGTGTTTTTACTCCAACTGACCACCTTTATATTATTTAATTTAAGAAAAATGTAGGGAA